TTTTTGACACGTTCGACAGGTATAAATGTACGAATTAGCAACGCACATCATCGTCTAGTGTGGTCGCTCGACCATTCATCAGGCGACAAAGGTACAAACACCTTCTGCCATAAAAGTCCCCCCAATTTTGTAAGCAAACATTTGGTTCCGTCCACGGGTGACAATGACACTACGAGCTTCCCGCAGCGATGGATAAAGCCGTCCAATTTCGAAAACAATTGCCCCTTTAATATGTTTTGATGTCTGGTTTTGTATTGATTGTCAGTTTAGAGCCGTGAAGGCTCATTGCTTTTTCGTCATTGTGCCATTTGTGTTTTTCTTCACGTCGCGTGTCTACGGGCCCGTTAAGCTATTGTTGACAGTTTTTTTAGCTACACAGTCCATGTTTAGGACAACGGTGGTTGCTACAATGGTGTCTTCAACCCAATACTGTGTGACAAAATTCACTTTTCACAAATCCAGAGTTGAACCAATCTGCTATTTGATCAAGGACCTGTTTTGATATCTCTTAGGATTTAGATTTTGTTACTTTTTCAATGATAATATTCAGATTGAACTTTCAATTTAGTTAAATAAAGAATCATGCATTCCAGATTGTTAAAGAGGATAGAGTCAATGGATTATTTGATCCATAGGTACCTGTTTATCTATAAAATAATCTGTCTGATACAATATAACTTTCAATTTTTAAAATACTAGTAGATTTACGTCTTACTAGAAGCAACATCTTTATCAGGAATGTTTCAGATTCGGGAAAAATACTACCTTTGAGTAATTTTATATTATGTTTAGTGAGAATTGGTTCCAATCTAAAGAGACTTCCTGCTCTTAGGTAAAATCGAGCACAAATCTAGTAGGTAGCTATTGTTAGCACTATCCGTATTTTACAAAATCTATAAGTATAAAAGAGACAATGGAAATAATTGTTTATGAAATACCCACAGTGTTGGATAAAGGCTCGTAATTTAAGAAACAATGCCTTTTCTAATTTGTTTTCATGCTTGTTTTCATGGATGATTGTCAGTTATGAATGGCAACAATACATTGTCTTTTCCTAACATTGTTATACGAATTGTTTACTTGAATTCGTTGTAAATTACATTTTGAATATGTGATAAGATGGCAGCCGTTAATTTATTTTCTTTTGCTCTGGAAATTGTAGTCATTGCTTATATTAAAATGGCTTACTTATTGACCACATTCAATCTTTTAATTTCTTTTGAGGTTTTTCTGTCAGAGAGGTTGTGAGAGTATATTTCCATAAAAATATGTCTGTCCAATTTTGCACTATTTGAATCAATGCAAGTTTTGCTTCATAGAATTTTAATATTGTTCTTTTTTATTAATTCAAATTTTCATAGAAAAACATTTGTTTTATGCACTCCTCGGAATCTACTGGAACGAACTAGCTGAAATTTGGCACATCCATGTACCCAAACACGTAGGAATGAAGTAAAGAAATTTATTCCGATTATGAGGGTTACTGTTGGGGGGTGAATTAGAAAATTAATATTTAGCTAACTGTACCGTGTCATATATCAAATGAAAGGGCTTCATGTGAAGGTTTTTTTTTATTTTTTTTAATTACTTGTTTAAGTATTATTTAAGAAAAAAGATACAAATTTATCTGTATAGCCGCTATAAAAAAATATTATTTCCGAAATAAAATTCTAGAAATTTTAAAAAACTATGGATTGTAGCTGTATTTTAAAAAAACTATGTTTAGCTTTTTGGTTCTTGATTTTTTTATAGCCAGGTAGGCAAATGTCTCTACCCCACCTGATATTAAGTGGTGATAAAGTCCAAACGCGAAGATAGCTGGTACAGCGGTTATAAACTGCCACACCAACCATCCTCACCTTGCCGGCCTGCTAAAATTCTTCTTCACGTCTCTCTTAAAGGACTCCAGATTGTAGGATGGAAGGGAACCCGTGCGCTATTATAGAAAAACCTATAAAAATATAGTATGCCTGGTTTTGGTTCCTTTTACGTCCAATATAAGCTGGCACTCTCTAAACAAGTACGTATTAAGTGAGTAGGTTCGTGTCAGTTTATAGTGAACTATTCTATCTACGATTACTACACACAAATTTAGATTAGGTTTAAAAATATATATTTTTCCGAACGGAATATTTTCCACGTGAGTTAAACTCGCACTTGGCCGTTTTTTAATGTATTAGTTTAATTATTTTAATTTCACGTGTGATTATTTGTTACCAATTTAAAGCGTGGATATTCTCAAAATTATAAAAAAGAATTCAAAATATGAAAGAGTCCGCAATTTTCAAAATGCAAATGGAAATTTTGAAAAATGTTCCAGTCGATATTCTGATTGGGTCAGTTTTTCTCTTAGTGTTTGCCAAAAAGTAATAATTTAATTTGGAAAGGAAAGGAAATTCTAATCGAATTAATGATATCCGTGATATTTTGTAAATAATATAAACTTAAGATGTGCTTTCGCAGTATTCGTAATGAGTAATTTTTCTAGTAGTAAATGATATTTTCCATTTGCATTTTAGACTTACTAGATAGTCAAATGGGAACTTTGTTCCCATAGAGTTACCTATAGATATATTGTGTAGCTAATTCTCTTTAGTCCTTTGATAAATGTTGTACTGAAGTACTTATTTTTTGGGAAACAAACTTACATATTCATGGGGCTGTTTTTCTCATAAAGATAATAACTATGTTGTTTTGTTTCTCAACCATTTTATTGTCATTGTCACCAATATTCATACAAAATAAAGTTATCTCGTAATAGAGGACGAATGTGGTGGTGTCTTTAAGGTTTAAAGTGAACTATTATTAAGTTTAATTTAAAGACGAATACACTAGCTGCGTTTTTTTTTTCCAATAATATGTCGTGTTCGATATTATCTAAAAAAAACAATAAATATAGGATCAATATGTTTATTTATTTATTTATTTACTAATTTAGTACACACACAATAAAATAGATAAGAACAGGAACAAAAAATTTGAAATTATGTTGACAATTACCCTACTTTCTCCATCGATTACTGGGACTACGATATTAAATTTTCGGTAATTTAAGAAAAATGGGAAAAAGTTAAGGTGTGGGTCATGTTAGTGTGCGTAGGTATCAGTAAATATTTTGTGAAGGAAATCTCATTTGTTTAAGCTAATCGGCAAGACGAGGTATAGTTACTAATGAGCGTACTCTTTTCAGGGTAGTAATGTTGAGTAGGATACACAAGAGGTGGTGCATTTGTCCCGGAAATGAAGTCAAAATGTAAAGCCGCTCAAAATTTTTAAATTTAATACTTCATATTTTATATCTTCTTACTCACTCACTATCCGTAGGTAGGTAAACAACAGACTGAGAGATAGCAAGGCATTACATTTCATTTAGTGAATGTTATCTTTATACTCTCACTTCAAATGAGACGAGGTGTACTGAAGCTCGGTAAAGCTTCAAAAAAATAGGCTACACAAACTCTTTATCAAATCGTGTCCTACCCAACACTATGCGAAAGCGTGCGTTGCCGACGATAGCTTTTCTGTCATTGGTTGGATTGTATTGCTGTTGTCACTCCGACCAACGACAGTCCTCTTTCTTGTGTGATAGTTTTCCATCCTCGTCTTTTATAGGTAGGTAGGTGAACAGAATTTATGTTTATACCCCCGTATTAATAAACGATGAATGAGCTTGGATTATTTTTGTACTCCATATTTTGTCTCTGTTCATTGAATGACAACAAATGCAAATGTCTTATTTGAGTGATATGAATAAAACACGACGTAACTAGTCTAAGGTTATTACTCGTTTATTAAAAGAGGGGATAGAGTATAATACGCTCACGCTTAAATGACGCTCTGAGTTCTTCTATGAAACTTATTTTTTTACTTAAATCTAAAGCAAGTAGGTACCTACATTTAAAACAACATACACAACTCTTGGACTCCAAATGTTATTAATACTTATAAATTTATGCACCACTTATAATGTATGATGTATAAGGTAAGGGGTAAGTTATAGCACAGTATATATTTATGGTTATAGGTGCTATAAGCTAGCTATAGGTGCTAATTTTAAGCGGTTTATTTTTTATGAAGTCTCTTTTTTTTCTAGCTTCAACGGCAATATTGTGTTTTTTTAGACTTCTCTAAAATTTAACTATATTTAAATTTAATATGCTTAACGTATTTAACCGAATGTTTACGAATATTATAATTTAGCCTTAAAACTGCTCAGAATTTAGATTTTCAGAATGACGCTATCAATTAAGTAACATATCTACTATGTAAATATTTTAATAACAATTCTTATTAAGTTATATTTTATTTTATTTTATTTTTAAGCATTCTACTGCTGGGTGTTTAAATCATTTTTTTTATTACAGTTGTATTTACAATAAATAATAAGAACGGGTAAAGGTATCCACACATTGATACAATCCTCGAGGGATGTATAGAAATAAATAAGACATAAAGAAGAGGCGGCGCGTAGCTCGGTAGCCGCGGGCGCACATAAATAACCGGCCAGCCGCAAACAGGCCGTATTTACGACAATATTATGTTTTATACATGCACCCGTTCAGTACACAGAGGCTCTAATACCACGCCAACCTACTTAATAACCAGAACGCGCGGAAGGCGTAACCCGGTGGCAATCTACCGTCTCGCTCGATGGCGCCCCAGGCGCGCGCTTAAGCGAGACGAACAACCACAAATTTATTGAAACGAAAAAAAAATCAACTGCTACTGCACTCCGCGTCTCCTCTACAGAACTAGATACATTTTTCCATGTCGTCGTTGCGCGAGCGAGAAGCGGGAGCTGCGGCGCGCGAGGGAAAGAGACGAGTAGCTTTCCGCGAGCATCGCTCGAAGCGAAACTGTCGGTCATGTGGGCGCTGCCGGTGTTGCGCACGCGCAGCTACTTCGGCGCGGCCGAGTTCCACGCTCACGCTGCGTCATTCGGCTCGCTTAGCCTGTGTGACCTTTAGCTGGTGAACTTAGGAAGCGTCGTCCGCTGTGAAATGTCCATTAGAGCTCCTTCGTCCCGCGCGGGCAGCGGCATCTGCAACAGCGCCAGCATTGGAGTGAAAGGGACGGCTGGCGGTCGCCGGTGCCGTGGTTAAAGGTATTCGTAGAATGCGTGATCTGTATCGGGCAGGCGGGAGGCGGCGCGGGGTGCGGGGGCCGTTCGGAAGCGGTGGCAGCTCCCATCGACTCCTGGGGTTATTCTTCCTTAGGCCACTACTGATCGAGCTACGTAGCAAGCGAGCCAGTTTTTTCTGTCCACCGCACCGCACGCCACACACTCGTTAAGCCAGTGCCAACACGAGAAGTCGCCACTAATAAATTACTGTTTTTTACTGCACTCGCAACAGTCACCGCCGCGCAGCCGAGTAATTTATACGTAAAAATAAACATTAATCAGCAATCATCGCAGTTGTTAGCGCCCGAACACAGTGAGTACCTTAACATCTGTTCGTAATTTTGGCTAAATCTATGTTCTCTTAATTTACTGACTTCGCATTCATCAAAATACGCCTTGGATTTCTATTTCAAACTTAGCTATGCTGTCGATCCATTTCTTCACATTTGTTTTTCTGTTGAGAGAACATAAGATTTAATAGTTACTTTTCAGTTTATTGCAGTTTTTTTAACTTATATTAAAATAAAATTCTAAATTTAAAAAATTAAACAAACTTTGATCGAATTCTCTATATATCTAAACAACATTTTTCCATGTTGATTCTATCTTTAAAGAAACTGCAGTAATATTAATAATTGTTTTTAATTTAATTGTTCATTTCAATTTCATTTTTCACGAATCATTTGTATTTTCTATAAGAAATCCCCCCCTTAGGTCCAGCTATAAAATTATTATGTCCCCGATATTTTATGTAATATGAAAAAAAACGTTTCTATAAAAATTCAAATAAAATAAAACCTAGATCTAAATATAAATAAAAGACCTAAAAGAAAGTATTAAATATTGCGTACGAATATTATAAAGAAAAGACGGTCCGTGAAAGCTCAAAGTCTACAAACAAGCATTACTTATTCAAATAATCCGAGTCATTATCATGTAAATTGACCTTAGCGCCTACAAGGCGCTAGATCACACAAAAGGATCGAAAATTATTGTCGAACGAGGACGTTTTTTTCCATAAAAACTCATAAGCACCCGTCCTAGCGCTATTCACCATTCCAGGTGACCATTTTATAAGGATTTATGGTTTATTTAACAATAAAAGAGGAATGGTCTTCACAATAAAAAGAAGTTCGAAATATTCTAAAGTATGGTTAATATTGAGCTTTTGTTGCGTTCTAAAGTTTTGTATTGCATGCATCATTAGACACAGCTATTGACACCTCGCGAAGTGGTTCCCATGGTTTAGGTTGGACGATGATATTACTTAATGGAATGGTACATTATTTTTCATATTTATAAATTCAGTTAAACAAGACTGCATACTGTACTTTCTGTTTAATACTCACTTTGGGAAAAAAAGGAGAAACATTAAATTCGATCACGGAAGCAGTCTCAATAGCAAGGTTGAAAAAATCCCTACAAACTCATTATTTTTAATACCGAAGGCGCGCAGTTAATAATTAAAGCTCACAACGCAAGTGCTGGTATAAAAATAAACCGGTGTTTTACCATAACCTTTAGTCGTGCTGCCAGCAACTTATTAGTCATTCTTACGTATTTTTTTTCTTACACGACCGCGCAAGCATATGCATAATTGTCGATTACCTATGAGATCAGTGCTTAAGGTTTGTATTTATACACACAAGTGTATAAAATACAATGGAAATTGTCCATTAGTTTTTACTCTGAAACATTTAAAACTTAAAATTATCTATCTTCTTTCTCTCCTTTTGCTCCTGCTAATATTTTAAATTCAATAAAAGTTTGTGAACATTGACACTTAACATGTATCGAAACATGAATCCAATACATCAAAATTGTGAGTGAAATATTTTCGCATGCGTTGTAAAATACGAAATTCGATGATCACAGTTGATTGTATGTTTGAAGAGTTGATTTCCATCATTACTAATTCACCCGCAAGACATAAATGAATTTACATCCATAATTACGTATCGCCAAGTGGTCTTTATAGTGTAAGAGACGAACACTTCAGTTTAATTAATCCTATAGTGAAATAAACTTCATCGTGTGTTAAAACTTAAAATTATTTTCTACATATATATATTCATAATGAAATGTGTAATTGTAGTGTGTGCGTCATCTTCCAACCTTTGAATAACAACTATTTACAGGTATTAATGTCAGCCTGAACACCCAGAACGCACCATTTATTCCATTAATGAGTCTCTAAAATCCAGTTGCACAAATTGCAGTGTTTATCACGTCTTTATTCATAAAGTACCGTAACTATTAGTTTGCTGAAACATTAAATTCTTAAAATTACTTAGGTAGTCCCTCGGATAGCTCAAAAAAACTACTCCTGACATATTCTCATTTGATATTTTTTTTATTAGATAAATACCATATAACATATCGGTTAAATTTTAACATAAATACACTTGCGCGAAGCTGTAAATGAGTACAAGAGATGAGTTTTGCCCATGTCCTTATAATCGTACAAAATTATCGTTTTTAGAACCCCTGGTAACTTAAAATATACCTTGAAATTATTGACACTAAAACATTTTTTGACGATGGTCAATATTGGATGATTGGTTACTGGCATGGGGCCTATGCTCAGCAGTGGGCATCGTACGACCAACACCATGATGAGGACATTATTTAGTTTTCCATTATTTGATTTTGTTATTTGTTTGATTTTTCAGTTCAACATTTTTTTACCACAATTAGCGAATGCCTCGTTCAGTTAGTCTATCGAGACCGTACGAGACTTGCATTTATGTAAGTTTAATATCTGAAATTAATAAATTGAATTATCTTTGTACTCCGTCTCTTGGACTATGCGTAACACAGTGGCAGTGGCTCGCCACGCAACGCCCGCGCATGTCCGTAATAAGGCAAAACACGGACTAATCGGCCAAATTGTATTTGACTGGAGACATTTTTAGTATTTAAGAATACCTATTTATTTGAAAGAAGATATTTTCGATGAATGTATTTTTTTAATATAAAAACAAAAAACTCTTTATATAAGTTAATAAGTTTTGATCTTCATAACAACTACAAGAAACCAGAATAATTTATTCTAATTGACTATAATGCGCACTCTCCGAGTCCCATATGAATCGCGATGAAAGTGACAAAGTGCAATATATTGCACGGATTTTATTCCAAATTCCGGGCGTTTCGTTTCGGCGACGCCGCGACGGTCGCGACTCTGCGGGGAGCCGCTCTCTTTTGACTGCGCCGAGTGCGCCCGACCTAAAACACAAACAAAAACACTCTGTCACATATACGAAGCTACGTATTCTGTATTAACACATTGGCTCATGTTTACGAGCCACGGGGTGGAAAACAATGATTATTTATAGTACGGGTGGCTTTTGTCATAACGCCGGTCGACCGGCCGCTACGCCATCCACCAGATATTGTGGCCATTTATAACTCAGAAAGCTGATCGAGGACACAGAATTGATTATGGCTAGTGGTTTTTTCGATCATGTTAATATTAGTGGCGTCTATGAAGTTAACATTCCTTTGATTCTTTCGACTACAAAGCGGCCGATTTAACGCCAATCATTTATAACGTTATGTAAATAAGCATTTTTTTATTTTTATCATCGGCGTTGGGTAGGTATTGCTGGTCAAGGATACTTTATGGATTTCAAAATATTTATATGTGTTTGATGTTAATGATACGAGCTTCTAATGGTGCGTAATTTGTTAAGATCAACCCTTTTATTAAAACAGGTATGACATTGTGAAATTCTATGAAATTAGTTGCAGCAATACTTCTCATTTGACCTCCATTACCATAAAAATCTGCTTGACTAGCTTCATAAAGATTTCTTTCAAAGACACATTAATAAGTTAAACTTTCAATGAAATTTCAACCCATATTACTTTGCACGATTCACGTCACTTAAATGGAATCGGGCCAACCTTAAAAATTCACACAAGCCGCAGGTTTTTGAGTCAACAACTTGCCTTTTACGGGTAGGTATATAACACGTCGAGTGTTAACACATAGGTAATTTGTCCAAGCGATGTAACACAGGAAACTATTGTTTGGACGAGAGAGATACAAAGGTTGGGCGAGCTTATCTGGTAGGTAGGTAATCTTTGAGATAAGAGCATTCCATGGTCGGGGTGTTGAGTATCAACAAATAGACGCTGGTTTTAGGACATCCTCCATTTCAGAACCGCTAATATGAAGTATTCGGTGGAACAATTGAAACGTTCGCTAGGCCAGAAGGCAGTCTTGTGACAACAGATCGTGAAAATGATAGGAAAAGTGACAAGCATCACGTAGAGTGATATTCGATTCGAGATGAATACATCTCGATCAATCCTTATTAGAGTTGATTCGATAAATTTGGAGGTACGCTTTTTGTTAAGAAGGCTTCACCCATTTTAAAGTTTCATTTATGAAAATAAAAATGTTACAAATAGGTATATTCTCATTGAGTTTACAAAGAAAATTATATTTGGAAGTTAGGTTTCTTTCCTTCATTTGCAGAAAATTAATGTCTGAAATTCTAGACACAAGAATACAATAAAAAAAATCATTTTATATGTACCTTTATGTTTAAGTTTTTTAATAGCGGCTATACATATATACCATATTGTAAATTTTATCTTTTTGGTAATTTTCTAACAATATAACCATTAAGGATTCAATTACAGATAGGAAAACTTAGGTAGGTAAGTATATCAAACTTAGCAGTAGGCATTAAATTTATCTTTTACACGCGCCAAACAAAACTCGCCGCTTTGATAATAATTAACACTTTTTCCACAAAGAAAATGGATGTTAAAATAGGTACATAGAAGGTGCGTCTTATCTTGTATGCCCTTTGTTTGCGCACGGGCCTCTTTCGTGTGTGCTTTAAAATCGATTACACATCTTTAAAGCACCCTATCTCAAGGCACTAAAGATTATTTTCGAACGTTCACATATCAATATGTGAGTTCCCTTTGAGCCTTAACCGACGTTAAAC